TATATATATATATATATATATATATATATATATATTGAAAATACAGTCATAACTTGAAAAATATATTTAAAAACCTATAAATGTGTAACTTTTATAATAATAATATAAAAAATATATAATAATGTAATATAAAATTGAACAATATAATATAATATAATATATATATTTTTTTCCTTTTCTTCATCATGGACACTCTTGTACATCATTTATCCATATGCTTCTCTGCCTTATGGTGAAGTTCACTGACCCGTATGGATTTCCTAGTGATGCTTGTTGACCAAACAAATTGTTACTATCCTTGAAGGAACCACATCAGCCTATTCCAAAATGCACCTTTTGTTGGTGGGTCTTTTTACTGCTTCATTGTTATCTCCACACTATCATAAACATTTCACTAGCTTCCAACCACCACCTATTCACGATCTGACCCCACCACGCCTCTTCAACTAGAGGAACCCAACCGTATCTCATAACTTCCTCTCTTTTCCAACCTACTGCGTAGTCATAAGCCATAACAAACCTCTCAGAAAACAAAATGAGTCCGCTTGTAGTGGTCACGCCAAAACCCAGCCTACGCTCGCCGCCAGTGCCCCAGCACCTCTATTTCCTGCACACTTTGATGCTTATTTAAAGGTAAATCTTATTTTCTTTCCATCACCTTTAGTTTCCCAACCCCTGACTCCATTTTGATATAACTCGGGCAATCTGGCCGGGCATCACTCATGCATTGAGCCGTTGAAACCGTACACGTACAGCCCCTGCCAAATGGAGAGAAGCAAAAGAAATAGAGAGAGAATATGGATCAGTTTGTGTTTACCGCCAAATTCTGCCTCCCTCAAAGCAACACATTAGTGACAGCGCTGTGAAGGGAGCTTTGATTTGGGCCAGTGAGCCACGTATGTCACTTGTCTCCATTCCTGGCATGTTTTCGATTGCACTTCCTCTTCTTTCTTTTTTTGTTGCTGATCTATCTATCACAGCCCGCAGCAGCCGCGTAAGCAGGTGACGGGAGCCGTTGCTGAAACAGACGGGCCTCATTGTTGTGCCAGACACGTCAGTGGAGGCAAAACACCACCTCACCCATTTGTTTCCCAACAGATTGCCCCCCCCCC